CAACAATCATTTCAAAATATTTTTATAAATGTCAAAATAGACCTTTTTAAAGAAATTGATTTTTAAGTAATTTTTAGCAGTCGTAGATAAAATGTTGTATATCACACGTGGGTTAGAGCATAATTACAGTACTCGTGTGATTACACGACTCGGTCTACGACCTCGTCGTGCAGTAATTGTGTTTCTAGGCCACTTGTAATATAAATAACTATTACATGTTTTTCTGATGTTATGTAAACGTGTCATTTTTTTATTACTAGTGATGTAATGATTACTTTTTTTCACGGAGCTGAATTTGAACCAGGTACCTCCTACTTGACAGCGCACTTTCCTTTCCATTATACTACCGACATTTGATATGTAGTGTAACGACGTATATTAACAAAACAAATCGTTTGTAACATATGTCATATAACTGGTAAGTTGTATGCAACACGTCAGCAAAGCCACTTTATCGAACTCGCCAGTTACTCACCTCGCCCGCTCGACTCCTAAATTCAGACTCGTTCAATAAAAAATCATTTTGCTGACTTGGTACATAAATAACTATTGCATCTTAAACGAAATTCACTGTAGAAAAATGTTGAAAATATTTCCCCATTAGTTGCAACAACCCAGTTTATCGTATTTGCAAGTATAAAACTTATAAAGAAACTTAAACATGCTATTTCGCAACAAAAACATTATTACATTGTTATTTCTTTACGTCATAAAATAATTAGTTCGAATGTTAATAACCTTATACTTTAATTAACAAAGTTTAGTTTTATCAATCGATTTGTTTTATCACCTCTTTAACAAGCTCTTAATGCGCAACGTTATCTTTCCTTCTTAACACGTGGTTGATGATGAAATTACATGCAATACACACACAATATGATGACCAATTTGAAGTTGATGTAATTTTAATTACTAAATCTCGGCCTCCAGCGATCTTGATTTAATTAGTCAATGATCTAATAATTAATAATGTTAGTGTATAAAGTATAACTTCGTTACTCAACTCGAAACATTTAAATTGAACAATGTTAATTTAAATCAACATATAAATCAATACATAGAGTATTAAATGAAACCTATTTATAAATCTAGAAAATGTCACTAAAACATTGTGTCCAGATTTGAATTTTTATTTTAGCGACGCGCATAAAATAAAAATAAATCCTTGAAAGTCGAATTCGATTAAATCACCATCCGGTTAAAATTGAAATCGGTATAAATAAATTTAAATAAAAAAATTGTTAATAAATTTAATCTGGATAAATCAGTCAGAAAAGGTTTTCTGTGTTGTAAAGAACTTTAATATAGTCGGGGAATAATTCCGATAGTTGAATTTTGCAAAATCAGGGTACTGTGTATACCTGACGATGCAAAACTTTTCAATTAAACCAAGCATCATCGATCCCTTTATTGTACCTTTCCCAGACAAAAGCGGGTCCCTTTTCCACGGTACACTGGGTGAAGTTGGTTGCGGCAAGTAAACTTTGAAAACGGCCTCCACAACTTTAAACAATACTTGTCCGATAATGTCTCTCCCTTCGACGCGACGCGTTTCTAAACAATACGGACTCTGAATGTTTTATCTTTCGGGTGCAATCAGATCAAAACTATCTATTACCTAAATGAACATAATGTTGAATATGATTTACTTATTTTTTCTAGATACGAACGTTTATTAAGAAGAGCCAAGGCGGAAGATTTAACAGAAGTTTCCGGTATTGGTTGTCTTTACCAAAGTGGTGTTGATAGATTAGGAAGACCGGTGGTTGTTTTTATTGGAAAATGGTTTCCTTTTAATAAAATTAACTTAGATAAGGTACGTTATATTTCCAAATTAACTCCTCGAAATAATTTCATTTTAATCATTTTTAGGCTTTATTATATTTGATAGCTTTACTTGACCCAATAGTAAAAGGTGATTACGTGATCGCCTATTTTCATACCTTAACAACAAGTAGTAATTACCCATCGTTTTCGTGGTTGCGCGAAGTCTACAACATACTCCCGTACAAGTACAAGAAAAATTTAAAGGCCTTCTACATCATTCACCCGACGTTTTGGACTAAAATGATGTCGTGGTGGTTCACTACGTTTATGGCACCAGCGATTAAACAAAAAGTTCACAGTCTTCAAGGCGTCGAATATTTATATTCGGTTATGTCACCCGACCAATTGGAAATACCGGCGTACATCACCGAATATGATATGTCTGTAAGTAATTATTCAAAATTTATTAAATACTTATAAAATCTCAATATAACGGATTAAATATTTTTAAGTCATACTGTTAATATCATCTATATACAGGATGTTTAGAAATTGGCGGATAATGTACACTGTCTTAATTAATTATCGTACCCGACGTCATCATTGCAAGTATGCAACCAAATGTGCAAATCGCCTAATGCAATACCAGTACTGTGATATTGGTTGCATACTTGTAATGATGACGTCGACTATGATAATTAATTAACACACTGTATATGCAGCGACATTCTTCGATCGATTCAGAATCGAAAATGTTAATGTTAAAATGTTGTATCTTGCTTTGTATGGTTTACAGGAAGCACTTAAAAGAAACGTAAATATGTGGCAACATTGTATTTATATGCTACTGTATAGTAGGTACCGTAATATTCTCTGTATTTTCAAAATAATATAAAGGTATCGAAACGGTCAGTTATCTCCTAAAGTAAGATAGCTAGCGAAAAATGTTGAGATACAAAAGTTTATTGTTTTTTAAAACCTATTACAATAAAGACAAATTAAGTATGCAGTGTCAGTCAAAGAGTTATGACGAAACAAAATTACGCGTTTTTTAATGGAACACCTGTATATTATTCCATATTTCAGTTCATCTAGAAATTCTAAACAAAATTCATGTAACACATCATAGACTTTAACTTTACCGTTTTCCAGATATCGAGCTTTTAAAAATTTACGAATTTATCTAATTAGTAATGTAATTTATCTTTGGGCACAAATTATTTAAACAATTTTTGTATTTTTGACATGTGTTATGTCACTACGTTGCTATGGAGATGAAAAACTTTCAAAGGTACCTTGATGAATTATGAACATAATCAACAAAAATATTTTTGTGTAATTTATAAGAGTGATTTTCAAAGTTTAATATCTCGAAAACAGTTGAGTTTAGGTTTATGATGTGCTATACGAATTTTGTTTAGATTTTCGAGATGAACCGAAATATGGAATAATATACAGGTGTTCATTTAAAGAAAACACAACTTGGTTTCGTCATAATTTTTTGACTGACCCTGTATACTTAATTTGTCTTTATTGTAATAGATTTTAAAAAGCACTAAAACTTTTGTATCTTAAGATCTTTTTGCTAGCTACCTTACTTTAGGTTTCCATACATATCAGCGACCCTGTATATTGAAAAATAAGAACACAAAAATTATGTACCTAAAGCTAAGTTTCCACATGCACGGATTACTGGCGCCAGTACGATACCAGTTTTGTGGCGCCAGAAGTTATTTCCACATAAATTTTTTAATTGTGTACTGGCACAGTAATAAAAATGGCGTCAAGTGATGGATGTGCTTCACGCTAGCATCAATAATCCAAATGTGCTCCTTGGAACTGCACATATTATTAATATAAAAAAGCGAATACATAGTTGCTGGGTTAGATCGTGAATTGCACGTAGAAATAACCTAGGTGCGTCTAGTACTTTAATTAGAGAATTATACCATGAAGATCAGCAAGCATTTTTTAATCATTTAAGAATGACTGAAGAGAGTTTCATGTTTTTGTTGAGGCAAGTATTCTCTAGAATACAAAAACAACATACGCATACGAAAGATGCCATTCCAGCTTACGTAAAACTGCAAGCAAACTTTAAGATTTTTGGCTTCTGGAGATTCTTCTACATCCTTGCAATATATGTATCGTTTGCCAAAAAGCACAATTTCTAAATTTATATGTGAAGTGCTTTATGGTGAAGTACTTTATGGTATTCAGTTGTATATACTTCGTATTTTTGCTTTTGCCGAGGTTTCGTCAAAATCAGGAACTGTTTTCTTCATAATTTCAACTATCCTTCTAACAGCTTCATTTCGTACTAGTCGGTCCTTATATTGTGGAATTTTCTGGTTTCACAAACAAGGATATTCATACAACAACACAGAATGTATTTCTAGAAATAGTACTGTTTGTTCTGATGTCTATTTTTTGAACGGTTTATTACTGGATTTGTTCATTTTAGTTGAACGAACACGTTAATAGTTACACGTTTTCTTTATGAATATAGTTACTGGCGCCAAAAAGTAGAAGTAGCGTCAACTTTATTGGCGCTATGATTAAAGGCATCAATTTGTTGGCGCCAGTGGTTTTTTGCTATTTCCATATGCAAATGAACTGGCACCAGTAAGTCGTGCATGTGGAAACTTAGCTTTATAGTGAGTTTACACGGGTATAGATTTAGTGGCGCCAATAAAAACTGGCGCGCCAGTAAAATTAAATTGCATGCGTAAACATCTACTGGCATGCAAGTTGAAATCATGCATGCATGGATCAGAAAAGTTTGCACCCTTCTGAAATCACTCGCGCCAGTGATGAGTGTAAAAACATGTAACCGTGACAACATAGATGAGTATCCACAAAAACGCAACATTTTTTAATGTCAAATTTAGGTTATGTTATGACACGATCTTTTCGTCGTATCTTTTTCTGTATTTCTTTTATGTTTTTAATAAGACTTGAAAGTGTTAAACACAATAAATATAATGTAATCTTTTAAATTAATCAGAGGACGTAGAAACAATATACTTGGTAAATAATACAAGTATGTATGTAGTATGTTGATTGATAAGTTTTATATCTAACTAAAAGTACTAGTATGCTCTACATACAAATTATTTACAAATATACAAAATAATATTCGGGAATGTTCGGCGATAATCAGTCGCTGGTCCGATCTGTGCACGTTCATTGTTTCAACTGGTTTCGACAAAGGTTGTTAGTAAACAAACCGCGTGTTACGTTGGCTTCAAGTTTTGGTGTTTACAACTGCTTCGATATATACAAATTTCTTTGGTCTAAGCCAAGGACAGTAGAATCTAACAGGACTGCTACATCCATTGTTGTGACAACCTGCCCGCAAACTACGTCACACCATTTTCCACGCCCAGCTCTTGTTATGGTCTATGCGTTTGCTGTGTTTTTAGAGGTTATATCCTAGACTTATTCATATTATTTTTGAAGTTTTATGTTTTTAGACGTATTAATGTCTATCATATAACCTCTAAAAACGCACAGTTACCAGGCGTGGCAAATAGTGTGACGTAGAGCGCGGGCAACCAACCCGTAGTGGACTACAAAAATACAATGGATGCAGCAGTTCTGTTAGATTCTGCTGTCCTTGGTCTAAGCACAATAATTATTGTAATCTACGAGGTATCTTTTAACAAATTACGTATTATCTAAAATAACAAAACTACTGAAATAATAAATCGTCTTATTTAAATCGTTTTACAGCTCCTTAAAAAATGAGGATGGCGTTGACAAGTATTTTAATTGTTCTTTAGTGAGTATCAGCGGTTCTCAAAAGTTGACGCTAACTTATTTAAAAAATTAACATGCGATATCTATGTAACTATTAAGTTTTTAACAAAACATTATTAAGAAAATCTCTTCAGTTTTACCTCTAGTACCTACTCTTTTAGTCTGCTCCGTATGTTATAAATCACCCTGTATAGTACCCAGAATTAAACAAAATTGGAATTAAAAATGGCTGTAATGATGCTTTTTTACATTTACAGCAACATCCCATAACTATTCTAAATGCATTACTAAACTTTGTGAACAATGTGTGCATCAAAATGGTAACAACTTTGAACTCTTTAGTTTTTAATAATTTTTCGTTTTTTGCAAACAAAAATTAGCAGATACATAATAAGTCATCAATTAAATAAAAGTAATATAGTAGTAAAAATATTATAGTATTTTCAAAATTCTTTGTTTATTCCGGTATCCTAGTAACGCGATTATTTAATTTATCATAGCCTACTTATAAAATAATGTATTTTTTTTTAATTTCGGGGTTAATTATAAAGGTAAGTATAGAAGTATTATATATCTTTGAAAAGCTTGAAAAAATTCTAGTTCAATAAAAAAATAAAATATAGGTGGTTCCATTTAAAAAAATTTAAGTTGTGTTTATTACTCAAAAACCGTGATGACTAGAAAAATTCTACGTGCACCATTGGATTCTACGTAAAAAATCGATTAGAATCCGTTTTTACTTTTTTACTAAGCTTCCAGATAGCCGAGATACAGGGAGTGTCTGAAAATTGTAAATTTTGAAACACTCCCTGTATATCAAAAACGAAGAGGGCTCTGAAAAATTGGTTTGCGCCATTGTATGTTTCACAAAAAAGTAGCTCAGGTTCGCGAAAACCGCAATTTAATAACATAATAACTGAGATACCCTGCCAATTTCTAAACACCCTGTATATTTAATACATCAGTATATTTAAATATAAATGTTTAGCGTTCAAAGATAGAATCAATAGGTAAAATTAACACTAGATCTAGAATTAGAAACATTCGGGATTAGCCCCTTGTCTCTAAAGACGGCTAAATCCAAATGTTTCTAGTTCTAGGTCTAGTGTTAGTTCTAATTTTAATGGTTGTGCAGCACTAGACAAGAACTAGAACCATTCAGATTTAACCGTCTTAAAAGACGTACGGCTAAACCCAAATATTTTTAGTCCTAGGTCTAATGTTAGTTTTAGTGACAGTGCAAGTGTAAAACTAGAACTAACACTATACCTAGAACTAGAATCATTCGGGTTTAGCCGTCTTTAGAGACATGCGGCTAAACCCAAATGATTCTAGTTCTAGGTATAGTGTTAGTTCTACATAGTAACAGTGCTAGTGTAAAACTAGAACTAACACTAGACCTAGAAAGGTTCTAGTTCTAGTTTTAATTGTTGTGCAGCGCTAGACCAAAAACTAGTATCATTCGGGTTTAGCCGTCTTAAGAGACGTGTGGCTAAACCCAAATGATTCTAGTTGTAGGTCTAATGTTAGTTCTAGTGACAGTACAAGTGTAAAACTAAAACTAACACTATACCTAGAACTAGAATCATTCGGGTTTAGCCGTCTTTAGAGACGTGCGGCTAAACCCGAATGATTCTAGTTCTACGTGTAGTGTTAGTTCTATATAGTAACAGTGCTCGTGGAAAACTAGAACTAACACTTGACCTAGAACTAGAAACATTCAGGTTTAGCCATCTTGAGAGACGTACGGTTAATCTCTCTAGTTTTTTAGTTTTTTCTAGTCTAGTGTTAGTTCTAGTTTTAGTTGTTATTCAGCGTTAGATTGTAGTAATAAAACTAACTAATACAGAACACAACTCTCTTCCCTGTATTAGTCCGTTATATCGAAGTTTTACTATCAAAGTTTATTATAGCTATAACTTTTTTTTGTAGATAAATGGTTTAAGATATTTCCAACCAGGTGCACCAACGTAAGTAATCCTTTTTTAAGAAGAAAATGATTCGTGTTTAAAAAACTATCGCAAATAAGTAAAACAAAAAAATTAAGGAAATTTTGTGAATAAAAGTGATACCTTCTTGCAATATATTTCGTAGCGTGATCGTTCGAATCGTTAAAAGACTTGAACTAATGCGCTGTGCCAACCTCCTTTGTGTAACGAAAAAAAAGATATAAAAAAATACTTACATAAATCTTGTGCAAAAGGAGAACTAAAAAAAAAAAATAATAAAAATTTGTTAGAGTTGTAGTTTGACCATCACATTCCTATTAAAAAAAAATAATATCTCGATTTTTAAAATTGATTTTGTTGAGATCATCTAGACGTAGTAGTTGTTGGTAGTGTTGTAGATGTTTTTTAGGCGATAATCTAATCGAGAGGATACGCTTTGTTTTTGGGGCGGGAGAGAGAGGGTCTTTATTGTTGTTGTTGTAAAAATAAATAAAATAGAATTTGCTTTCGGTATAAACTAAGAAATAAAAAATAAAATGAAAAAATTATGAAAGGGGTAAGCGTACAAAAAATAAAAATATACAAAGACGATAATGTTGATTATTGTATCCCATTGCGTTTTTTTTAAATTCTATTATTCCAACTTTATTGTCTTATAAACGTTTTTTAAAGTATGATTGTATGTTTGCACTTCCGTGTAGTTTATTATTAGATTATATTTAAACTAATTTTTGTTATTAATAAATATATAGATTTTTGTATAAGATTCCAAGAATTATTAAAAGCAATATTTATTGTACTAATGTAAAAATAAGAACAAAATTATGTATACATATAAATACGTTAATTAAAGCCATGCCGAAATGGAAAAAAAATAAACAATGTAATATATAAAACTATACCTACAATTCTTATGCAGAGTGAGTTGTTGACATGTCTTAATTTTATAACAATCGTGAAAAGTTGAAAAATAAAAAAATGTTGTTCACCCTAATTTAAATGGTATTTTGTTGATTATATTAGCTTTAATTGATTGATATAGGTTGTAGTCAAGTTTGATGAAGTAATTAATAGACATCTATCGTTGCAAATTCAAATCAAATTGGTTCATCACCTTACTAATTTCGTTTAGTTCTACGGCTCAACTATAGATGTCTCATTCGTGAGAAAATCAGCTAATGACATATTTGTACAGTGTCTTAATCAAAAATTAAAAATTCCCTTAAAACCAAAGCTGACGACGATATCACTTGGGCATGGTTGCGCAAAAAACAATCGTTGTGCCATTCACCAATTGAATGGACTAATCTGCTCAACTATCCAAGGTGAAAAAATTCCTTTCTCAAAGAAAGTCAAATGTCTAGGAGTATCCATGACAAAACCTTCTCATGGAATGGATATTTGTTTTGTGGGGAGTTTTACACAAAGCTAGATTATTCTAGTGGAAGACTACTTGTCTTTTTCATACTGAGCAGCAGCCTGGTATAGGAAAGTCCGACAAACTTCAGTTATGAGTAAACTTTCACGAATTGAACGAGTAGCTGGATTGGCAATTTCTGGTGCGATAAGCACAACGTCAACTCTGACAATGGATGTTCTGCTTGGCCTATCTCCTTTGCATTTGCATATAGAGCAAGTGGCTAGAACTATCACTTACAGATTTAAGCAATATGCTCAAAACTGTTCCAACGTATCCTACAATAGGCTGCGGAAGACATTATAAGCACAACACAATATCAGTGTTATCAATATCGCCAAATTTGGGGGAATTGCTATCAATGATTAACTCGTTTATGCCCACATCTAATAATGGAACATCCCCGTTTTTCTCCCCTCCACGCTTTGTTGTTAGTCATAACGTGATTTTGCAGGCAGTAACACGTTTCCAGTAAACACATTGATTAGTGAGAGTGATTGTTTAACGAATTATTGTCAAACAATCACTTTCACTAATCCACGTGTTTACTGGAAACGTGCCTTTCTTTCGTAAAAAATATGGCTAGTAAAAGGTAAGTGATATTTTCTATTTTTAAACTAATATCATCTATAATTTTGCGTTGTGTTTATTGCCCCAACAATTCTCAACACATTTCCATATATCATCTATAATAATAAATAGGATAAGTACAAAAAAAAACACTTTTTCCCAAAAGATCCAATATTGGAACTATGCTAAACGGGTCCATAAAGATTTTTAATAATTTCAGACCCCTCACAAGTGCAAACTCATTCAAGTAATAAAAGATGGGGATTTTTAAGCCGCTGATGTTTTTATCACTCCTCTAGATGATGGTACTGAAAGTGTTAAAGATAGCGACCATGAAGGTCTGTGACGACATCAATAACTGGATGGTCGACAGCTTCAAGCGGAAGCTATGGCGAAAATTACAAATCATGGACGGACTTTCACTATCGGTGACAGCGACAATGACGAAGAGTCAAGTGGTGATAATGAACCTTTGTCAGAAATACAAAAAAAGTTACCGAAAAAAAGAAACTGCCAAAAATCCGATCTTATTCCTGGGTTTCCGAACTTTGAGAAACCGATGCAATCAGCACCCATTTGTGCTTTATCTTGATGATAGTATTATATCATTTTTGGCAGAAATGACGACATATGCACAGCAAAAGCAACTATTATCTGTTTATTGTGTTGGTCCTACATGTAGAATGTAGTGGGAACAAGGAACCGAATCTTGCAATATGGAACTAGTGAATTCTATGTGAAAAAATAGATTGGAAATGATAAAAAGATATCTCCACTGTGCTAATAATAATAACCTTCCTACGAGCGACAAATTTGTAAAACTACGAGAATAGACATTATAAAACATCAATCAAACACCACCAACATAAAAAATTTCTTTCAGTATTGTCCTCACGGTACAAAAAAGTCATTATTTTTGTGTGGTGGGCAAATAATACTATGGGATTGTCTGGTGCAATAACGGTATAAACGCCACGTAACTTATCCCATTATTACACCCGTCTACAACACGGGATAAGTGATTTTCTCTCGCAATTCTGATTCAGTTAGCAGAACATAATGCGTATTTATGTTAAACGATAAATATGAATTGGCTCTTCATTTGTTATTCCG